TATTTAGACCGTTCTGAATTTGTGATGTGGTTTCTAGATGAAAATAAATGCTTGTTTATGTGGAATGAAATGGAGAATAGTGTGATATATATGGGATCCGACTTGGAAGAAGGAATCAAGAATCATCTCATCCATCCGGATAGGTCATTGAATACACTTTTGAGCGGGTACCTGTAAATGAAGAAGATCGTCGTTTGGATGAAGAAATCAAAAATAACTTAGAGGAGATAGGGTTTGAGAAGATGATTTTGGAGGCTAAGGCTAATTTTCTAGTTTCAAAAGGAAAAAAAGCAAGAAAGAAATAATTCAATCATCACTTCATCGCTTAGAAAGTCGTTATAATACAAGAAGAAGCTGACAATATATTGTACTTTTTAATGATAATCTTTTTTACAAAGTAATCTATTTCAGATTCTTTAATAGGATTACTAATATGCAATATTGTATAGAATTAAAAAGCATAAATAAAACCGCAATCTATATTCTTTTATGTTGCTAAAGCTTTATCACAAACATTTTGTAAAATGAGAAAGAAACTAATTGGCTAAGATAAAAATTGGAGTAGTGAATTTAAAGGAGAAATAAAAGTGTGCCCGCCTGCATCTAGATGTCTTTTACATAATAAAAGGAATGGCAGTTCCTTCTCATTACTCAACATTATTATCTATATTAAGTTTACTATCAAACCATAAACCAATATTATTTAAAATATCCTTATTCTTGATATTTCTCTCATAAAACCCTTGAACTGTAAACTTCTTAATATTTCCACCCAATTCACAAATTTCCATTGCTACATGAAGACACATTTCTTGGTTTCATAATACAATTAATATACTATATATTACTTTATTATTTCTTAATCTGTGCTCTTGACACCAACATCTAAAAGTAATACGTACTGCTCTATTCTTTTTGTGATCCATTGTTTGACATTCACTACATTTTTTGGTTGACCTCTTTCTTCCTTCTTCACTGTGAACGGTTGTTTTTGAAAATTTTTAAATGTATCTTTTGGAACAACAAAATAGTGTCGGATAGTATGATCTGCTGACTCACCACCTAGCCTTTCATGTAGTAATTCATATCCATGTTGTTTAATATCGTGTGTTCTTCCCACCGTCATCTGAAATGTGAAGTCATAATCTTTTCCAATATAAATGGCATCGATAGTTTCGAAATTCTTTGCTACCGGTTTACAGTATTTGCCATCTTCAATATCATCTACTGTGTAGCAATTTTTTGTTGTAAGCCGAGGAAGTTTTAGTTCTAGTTCTTTCCCGCGGGATGATTTTTTATGTTTTTCTAGTGAGCGTGTCAAAAATGTTTTACCAGCACTGAGTTCATTATGTGCAATAATTTCAAACATATATCCACGTACAGAACCTAATAATGACACAGAAGCTGATGCAAAGACAAACTTGTACGTTTCTTCTTTGTAGAATTCCTTTAGTCTTGCAAAAACTTTATTACCAACAATTGTTGATGCAAACTTTAGCTCACATGAAGTATAGGGAAGTTTGAAAAAGGTGCGTTCATTGATGATGACATTTATCTGCTTCTCATTAGTATGAATATGCACTAAGTTATGACTATAAACATCGCCTTCACTGACTGTGCTAATATATCTAAATAATCTGGTGTCGATATTGTCAACAGAGGCCGTAATCATATCGTCAATCTCATCTAATGTGTATTTGAAGATCATTCTTGGAATACCACCACATAATTGGTAAGATTCATGAAGATTGTCCTTTGAAAATTCTGGATAGATTAATGATCGACATTCTTCTAATTCGTCCTCTGACCAAATTTGCATGTATACTTTGATTGTAATATTAACTGGTTTGCAAAAATTTTTTATGTTTAAGTCCTTTGGTGATGATACCATAATAAGTTTTCCGGTATCAAAATCGTGATTTACCCTGGGTGGTTTGCCGTCGATTATACACCACACATTGTCTCTTCCTGCAACTCTGCCATAGTCTACATTTTGTACCCATTCCACATCAAAATCATTCATCTCATCACGAGTAATGAGATATAGGTGCGGGTAACTGGCATCGTCTACCAACAGTTCGGAACCTTCCTTTAACAAAACACTCATAATATAACGTCCGAAAAATGTCTTCCCCGTTCCTGGATTCCCGGTGATGCAGAAACGCTTATGTTTCTTGCTCTCGAGAATGATTTTCTTGAAATAGTCATAACAACGGTGCTTATAGATATGTGTTTCGCTTTCGGTTCCTGGAAGTGGCGGAAGGATAATCACTTCCTTGTTCAAGTCTAAATCAATAGCGGTTCTCGCAAATAATGTAATTTTTCTGGTGTCTTTT